TGATGCTGCTTGGCCTGCTGTGTTCATCCAGCTCTACACCTTGTTATCTCAGATTCTCTAGCATCTGCAGTTCCTGCTAACACTGTGCGTGGTTATGTGTTTAGGATTTTACATTACTTCCTTAGGCTTTGTGAAAGAATTGAATATTTAAGCAGCTGTTCAATCACAGGATACCTGGATTGATTTATGTTACGCAGTGTTGTATTGTCTATAAGGAGTTAGGAGTTCATTATGAGGCAGGATCACCGATTCTATATGGGAGTGTTCCAGTGGGACCACATTCATAGCTGCACTGGAGAGTCAGATCACATAATACTGGCCTAAGCAAGTCTTCTCTAGGCAGTGTGGGAAGTTAGAACTAAAACAAATGCTTTAAGCTTGGAAGCTTAGAGTATGAAAATGACAGTCAGAAAACAATCAGCACTTGTAACAATTATCTAACAGCTTTTAACTTTTCATCATGTTAATCATTTATGAAATCCATTCTTACTGGTATATGGTTAAATTCAGCTCTGTTGAGGTCCCACAGTGTCCCTTGAATCTGACATTGAACATTTGAAGGCAGTTTTGTTGTTCATTGAACACCTAATTAGTGGTAAAGCACTTTGGAATGTTCCGCAGTCATGAAAGTCTCTATATAAATGTAAGTCTGTCTCCCCTTAAAGAAGCCTCTCTACAATTGAGGTTGAATAGTCAAACTAATGCTTTACAAAGCTGCTTTAGAAGGAGGGTGTAATTACAGTGTGGCTCACTTATATGGGCAGTTTCCATTATAAATTTAGACATTGGGATTTACAGTGGAAAACAGTTGACAGTATGAAGTAAAACCTCGCAGATAGGTAGTGACACTGACACATGATTTTCAATATACATTCAAAATATCTGAGTTCCTCCCAGTGTCGTTCCCATGTGTTAGTTACAGGCAACTTCCAGAATGCAGACTTTCAATTACAATATTCTTGAATTATGAATGTCATAGATCAATTTTATGATTGCTACAATGTAAATATGAAAAAATAATTGTGAGCAGAGTACTGGGTGTAATGGAAATGAATCATTAATACACTATCAAACTTTGAAATTTACTTGCATTCCCTGCTGTAGAACTAATATGAAGAAATAATTCTCTAAGTCAAAGAACTTTCTCATTGTTTGACTGCTTGTATTCCTCATTATTAAAAACAGAAGGAAATTCTGCAGGATTCCAAACCGTACTATCAGAGGAACATACGCCATAAAATACAAGAGAATTGATATATCAGCTAAAGTACCGTGAAACATGTATTTTAAAATATCTTTGCACCTTTTCTACCAGCTTTGATCAGGTTGCATTGAGTGGCTGGGAATGAATTTGGGAGGTTAATGAGTACAGCACATTAGGGGAGATGGTGGGGTAGTGGTAATGTCACTGGACTAGCAACCCTGAGGCACAGACTAATGCTCTGGGACCTTGGTTCAAATTCCACCAAGGAATTTAAATTCAATGAAAGGACCTGGGAGTCAAATCTAGCAGCAGTAATTGTCACTAAAATCCATCTGGTTCCCTGACATGCTCTAGGGAAGTAAATCAGCTGTCCTTAAACTGTTTTGATCAACATGTGACTCCAGACCATTGATAATTTCCCAGATGACCTTGTGGTATTTGCCACCTCTACCAGTGTGTGGCACTGGGTAAGGGTTGTTTGAGGGAGTTCACTGCCAGCATTTGTCCTTTGTTTAAGCTATGTCTGTAGTGATTAGTGATAGAGGATAGAGCACCATACAGTATCTACAGCAGAAGCCGTGTCTTTAGATAAAAAGGTTCATTGTATGATAGCAATAATGTTCAGGCATAATTGTCAGGATCTTTAAAAGTTCTGTCTAGTTATTTCCATTTGTCTTCCTCAGGCCCTTGCTGCTGATTGACTGATAATCCTTTTCCTTGTTACCAACAGATGTACATTGGAGGGAAGTTGCTGTTTGCTGACCACATTTTTAATGGATACAGTAACAGTGTGAAGGATCTGATGAAGCAGATTACCAAAACGTATGATGACTACGCAAATGGCCGCCACCTACTGTATGACTTCAGGTTCAGGTATTTTATCAAATGTCTTTTTGTCAGCAGAATCGATGTTAACTTCAGTCAGCCAGCCGTTTGGTAATACTCCGATAGCACAGGAATTTCACAAAGGTTTGAAGAGGCAACATAACAAATGCAGTAATTTCTGTAGTTGGCTTAGCAGTTCCTGAAGATGCAGTGATACAGCAATGCTCATGAATGTACTCACTGGCTGTTCCAGTGGACCCAGAGATATTGCAGTGCTCTCTAATGCACACACTGGCTGATGCAGTAGACCCAGTGATATTGCAGTGCTCTCCAATGCGCTCACTGGCTGTTCTTGAGACAGAATTTCTCACTTTAGTTTTTCATCTTGAGTTGGAACTGTTATTTAAGACTTCCCCAGGGAGCAGTGGGAAAACAATCAGCCTTTCCCATTCTTTTCCGCCTACTCACATCCACAGCTCATTTTGGCTGTTCCTGGGCAAAGTCTGACTGTGGGAACTTAAAGAAAAGGGCCTCAGTTTACAAACTTTACGTCAGCGAAGAGAGGGTGGCCTCAATTCTAAACCCCACCCCCTCCCAGAAAGATTGAGGTTTCTGGTAGCTGGAGCAGTCTATATAAATCTAGGTTGACGCCACTTCCTGTCCCTGCTCAACTCCATTTCATGTACTGAGCCAAGCCTTGTGGGAAAGCTGGGAAATGCTGTCAACGCAATGTCAGCACAGCACGGGATGGAATCTGACCCTGAGCAGAACCCAAGATTTCCAAAACCCAATGGTCAGTTTTACACAATAGTGTTTAATCTAATTTACTACCTATCTGCAAGTACATGTGCCATACTAAATTCCCTCTGTCATACCACTGCCCAATAATCAACTCTTCCTCTCTGGCAGACCCTTGGGATTGCTACCAGTCTAATTCGATGGTTTCAGAGATGGCTGATGAGTTCAATGTACAATCTACAGACTTTTTTTATTCACTGATGGGATGTGGGTCTCACAGGCTTTACTGCCCGTCCCTAGCTGCCCTTGGGAAGGTGGTGGTGAGCTGCCTTCTTGAACTGCTGCAGTCTATGTACCGTAGCGCTGTCAGATATGGAGCAGATAGTGGTTGATGGTTGAATAGATAAGGTGTTGGGAGGTTTATGTGTTCCCTCCAATGTCTCCACTTCACCTGTGTGTGTGTTCCTGTTGAATTCTCTCAATGTGTTCAGTATCTTCCTGAACAAGCATCTCCCTTTGAATAGTCACAAGCCAGAGAGTCAGATTCTGTTTCAACCTCTTTGATTTGACTTTGATTTTGATTCGATTTGATTTATTATTGTCACATGTACCTAGGTACAGTGAAAAGTTTTGTCTTGCACACAATACAGGCAGATCATACCATACAAAGTGCATAATAGAACAGAGTGAAGAATACAATTTTAGAGCCGAAGAGAAGGTGCACAATCAGTGAGATCAATATTAGATTTGAAATTTGAGAGGTCCATTCAGAAGTCTAAAAACAGTGGAGGAAGAGGCTGTTCTTGAAACTGTTGGTATGCGTGTTTAAGCTTTTGTATCTTCTGTCCGATGGAAGAATTTGGAAGAAATTATAACTAGGGTAGGAGGGGTCTTTTGATTATGTTGGTTGCTTTCCTGAGGCAGTGGAAAGTGTAGATGGAGTCAATGGATGAAAAACTGGTTTGTATGATGGACTGTACTGTGTTCACAACTCTAGTTTCTTGCAGTTTTGGGAAGAGCAATTGCTATACCAAGTCATGATGCATCCAGGTCAGATGCTTTCTATGGTGCATCTATAAAAATTGGTAAAAATCATTATGGATGTAGGGAGGCGATGGTCTAGTGGTATTGTTGCTAGACTGCTAATCCAGAGACCCAGATAACATTCTGGGGACCCGGGTTTGAATTCCACCACGGCAGATAGTGGAATTTGGAATTCAATAAAAATCTGGAATTAGGAATCTAATGATGAGCATGAATCCGTTGTTGAACAGTATTGTCTTTGCTGATGGGGTAGGGGTGTTTGAAGCAACGTATCTATGTGCTGAACAGTAGACCACTTAGCATTCAGCATTAATGTAACATATTGTTTTAGATTTTTCTGATAACCTGTCCAAAGATCACAGTCCAAAGATGTGCAGGCTAGGTGGATTGGCCATGCTAAGTCACCCATTCAGGGATGTGTAGATTAGGTGGGTTATGCGAGGTGGATCTGGGTGGGATGCTCTGAGGTTCCATGTGGACTTGTTGGGCCGAAGGGCCTGTTTCCACACTGTAGGGATTCTATGATTCTATGATTGTTGGGAAAAACCCTTCTGGTTCACTAATGTCCTTTAGGGAAGGAAACTGCCGTCCTTACCTGGTCTGGCCTACATATGACTCCAGATCCACAGCAATGTGGTTGACTCTGAACTGCCCTCTGGGCAATTAGGGATGGGCAATAAATGCTGCTTAGCCAGTAACACCCTCATCCCCTTAATGAATAAAGAGGATATGTTGAATTTCCTTAGCCTCCTGAGGAAGTAGAGATATTGCTATGCTTTCTTGACCATAGCATTAACGTGGGTGGACCAGGACAGATTGTTGGTGATCATCACTCCCTGGAACTTGACGCTCTTGACCATCTCCACCTCCGCTCCACTGATGTAGACAGGGGCGTATCCTTCACCTTCCTTCCTGAAGCCAATGACCAGCTCTTTCGTTTTGTTGGCATTGAGGGAGAGTTTGTTATCTTTACACCGTGCCACCAAGCATTCTATCTCTTCATGGAGGCTTTGGATATATATCTGAAGTGTTGGTGTTGTCCTCCTGCAGGTACTGAGTTTCATGTCAAGCAGTTTCTTTGGGAATCTGGTGTCACAAACACAACTGACAGGTCTTGCTAGTGGAGCTGGTTTGTACCGATTAACTTGGGAAAGGATGCTGCTGTTAGACTGTGTTTAAACAAAATTTTAAAATCCAGTTATTACCATCATTCAAAAACTATCCAATGCCTTTCACTATGGAAAAATCACAAGGAAAATCTTTTTTGCCCAGAGGTGGTGGGAATCTGGAGTATACTTGGAGGGTAGTTGAGATGGGAAATCTCATAACCTTTACAAAAGATGAGCACTTGAAATGTCAGAACATTCAAGGCTATGGGCCTAGTGCTGGAAAGTGGGACTAGTGTAGTTTTGGCAGTACAGACTTGATGGGCCAAAGGGCTGGTTCTGTACTGTCTGATTCTATGAGAACAATCTAGGTTCTTTAATCTTCCTCCTAACTCAAGTTCCTCATTCCTGGGATGACTCCCGTATATCGACACTGACACCACTTCAATATTTCACATCCTTCCCAAAGTATGGTGCCCAGAATTGGACACTTTATTCCAGTTAAGACAAATGATTCACAATAATTTCCTTCCTTTGTACTCCATGTCTCTGTTTATAAACCTGAAGATCCCATGTGCCTTTTTTTATTGTTAAACAGCCTTCACATTTTGCCCTGTCAAATTCAAAGATTTGTGTAAGTGCTCGTCTGGTACCTCCGCCCCTCATTTTAAACTCATACTGATTGCATATATATTGCACCTCCCCACTCTTCCTTTCAGAACAAATGCTTAATTTCACCACTACATGCTCTTGAAGTCTGTTAATATCCATAGCAAAATCAGGATATTTGTTCAGCCCCTTTAACATTTAAAAGCCCTGACTGGAAGAAAGCCAACAAGAATGGTTCAAGAAAGTATTAGGGCACTTGTAGCCGTAGTGTCGCTACCCCTGGACTGGGAGGCCTGGGTTCAAGTCCTACGTGCTCCAGAGATGTGTAGTAACATCTCGGAACAGATCGATTAGAAAAAAATTGGTAAAAAGTTCAGGCAGATGACCAGAAACCTGGCCAAAAAGGGATTATTAAGGACATGAAGGAAGAAAGTAGAACAGAAATGAGAGAGGCTGGAAGATTTTGAGAGGGAATTCTAGAATTTCAGGTCCCTGTAGATGAAGGCACAATAACCATTGGTGACTAAAGACTGAGATGCACCAATTTCTCAGTCATTGTGGTATTCTGTTTGTGCAATTCTATCAAAATGTTAGTCAAATTTTGTTAACCATGGAGGACTTTGCTTGAATCATTTGTGGTGCTGTATCCTGAATTATTCCAGAGTTAAATGAGTACAATGGCTACATCATGAAGAGGTTCCTTTCCACAGTGAGAAACTGTTCCAGATTAGAATCATAGAATCTTTACAGTGTGGAAACAGGCCATCCAGCCCATCAAGTCAGCACTGAACCTCTGAAGAGCATCCCAGTCAGACCCACCCTCCCTACCCTATCTCTGTAACCCTGATATCCCATGGCTAATCCACCTAGCCTGCACATCCCTGGAGGATTGGGCAATTTAGCATGGCCATTCCACCTAACTTGGACTTATTTGGGCTTGGTTTCTGTTTGCCCAGTTTGGGGAATTTCCCTGCCCTGTAATAGTCTATAATGTACCACAACTAAGAAACAATCACTGTGGCTCAACAGTAAAAGTCAATCAACTCTTGACAGCTCCATGACCATGTTCTTAATGTTGTGTCACTATTGAATGCTCATAAAGTTACTGGTGCTCAGAGTATCACTTCTACCAGCCTTTGAGATAATAGTAAATGCAGAAGTGTCAAGTCCCGGATGATTCTGGGTGGAGTTCAGAGGAAGACAAAACAGGAACAAAGCAAAGTTCCAATCCAGACACTAAGAAGGAACTTGGGATTGATCCAACTGAAGAACACTGGAAAAATAGTTTAGAGTTTGTACAGTATTGACCAGACAACCAATCGAGATAAATGTCTCAGGTAGAAGCAAAGAAGGGGAAAGGGCAAAACAGGAATAAATCAAAAACAAAAAGAAGAACTCGGGGACACAGTTTGAAAATTAGAGATCTCCCATTTGAATTAGAGATGAGGAGAAATAGCTTCTCCGAGGGTCTTGAGTCTGTGGAATGCTCTTCCTCAGAGAGACGATATTATTGAATAGTTTTAAAGTTCTTTTTTCTCTATTCATTTGTGGGATGTGGGCGTTGCTGGCTGGCCAGCATTTATTGCCCATCCCTAGTTGCCCTTGAGAAGGTGCTGGTGAGCTGCCTTCTTGAACCGCTGCAGTCTTCCTGCTGTGGGTTGACCCACAATGCCATTAGGAAGGGAATTCCAGGATTTTGACCCAGCGACAGTGAAGGAACGGTGATATACTTCCAAGTCAGGGAGTCACATTTTTAACAAGGGAGTCAAAGGGTTTCAGGTAATATGGAGTCAAGGACAAAATCAGGGCAGCCTTGACCATGTCAAATGGTGGAGAAGGTTACAGGGGTCAAATGGCCTAATTCTGCTCCTAATACAAACGTAACTCAGCAGAGAGGGAGGAGGACCTATTTAGCAGAAGGTTAGATATTGGAGAGTACACATCATCAAGATCTCTAACACAAGGGACGGTCACACAGTCACTGACAGTACAACACAGTCCATGTCTCCTATTGATTACTTCCAACGTGGTTTATTTAAAAAAGAGATTGGCTGAGAAGGTAGGCACGGTCACCTCCAGCAGCACCGAGCTTCTTGGGTACTGTCCTGGAGCATCAGCATAGATTCTGTGAGGCCAGGCCTGGAAACTGAACCAGCTCAGGGGTGAGACAACAAGGTGCAGGGCTGGATGAACACAGCAGGCCAAGCAGCATCATAGGAGCAGAGAGGCTGACGTTTCGGGCCTAGACCCTTCATCAGAAAAGGGGGAGGGGAAGGGGGTTTTGAAATAAATAGGGAGAGAGTGGGAGGCGGATTGTCACTTGATTGAGGCACAGTTGATCCTCTCTAATACACTATCTATGAAGAAACTGTTGTGTGATATACTGTGAAACTGCCATTAAGTGGATGAAATAAACAATCTATAAATTACGTGACTGGTCAGAATTGCTGCCAGTTTGTTAAGGTTAACTTTTATGTGGGTGTTGCTATATAATGAATCAGGCTTCTGTTTTCCCACTGCTGATGATAACTAAATATTTTGATGCTTACGTTGGTGTTTAAAAACCCTTCTGTAATTTCTTTTCACTTAACAAAGTATAATATGTCATATAGCAGTAACTAGATGTCCAATCATTCTTAAATCCACTGTGGAAGATGACAGTTTATTGTAAGATCTGGCACGACTTTTCAAAGACTTGCTGAATCAAATCATTAATCTGAAACATGTTATCGACAAGTCTTATTTCCTTTCCCCAGTTCCGTTGGACCTGCGTTGCCAAGTACCACACAGGATGACACATCGCTGCAACGTCAGTCTGATCAGAGTGCAAGACCCAAATCAGAAACCTCTATTAAGCCAGCCATATGCATCTTTCAGTCTGCTAACAGGTAAAAAGCGTGGATTCTGGATGCCATGGAAATGGGAATGGGGGTGGGTGCCCACTATGCAAACATATCAGCTGTTACAGTACTGAGGCAAAGTCTCAGCCTTTGTTCCTGGTATCCCGAGTTACATAATCTTGAGCCAGTAAAGTGACGATGGGTTTAATTTAATTAACCAAGAGAAAGGTAGTGTAGTTTTCTGACTGCTGTACATCTAATGACTTACATCTTAGATGAACAATAACACCAGAATTGGACAGCCGGGGAGAGACCATTCAGCCCATTTTGCCCTTACCAACACATTGCTATTACAGCCCAATCACTGAATCAATCATTGTCCACTCTTCTTGTGATCTTGCTTTTTTTGTTTCAAATATTTGCCCAACATTTCCTTAGAAAGGTGAATGGTCTCTGCCTGATCACTTTCAGCAACAGTTCCCAGGTGCACGAAACCTGTTCAAGAAGACTTTAACTCCTGATGGACTCACAGTCACTATCATAACCTGATGCCCCTGTGGTAATGAGATCCCAACTGCATTTCATAGAATCCCTACAGTGTGGAAACAGGCCCTTTGGCCCAACAAGTCCACACCGACCCTCCGAGCATCCCACCCAGACCCCTTTCCCTATAACCCACCTAATCCACACATCCCTGAACACTACAGGCAATTTAGCATGGCCAATCCACCCAGCCTGCACATCTTTGGACTATGAGAGGAAACCGGAGCAGCTGGAGGAAAATTTCCTACACACTCAGTCTGAATCATTGTAATGTACGTGTTCATTTTTCTCGGCACTTACTGTGCTCCTTGGGAAACAAATCCAATATCTCACAAAGCTGTCTTCCTCCTGGTATTATCATCTTGTAATTTTTTTTTTACTTTCTCATTAGCTTCAATGCTTTTTCTACAGTCACACGCCCTAAAATCCTTCATGGTGGTCTAACTTAAACTTTGCATTAATTTCTGAATATTTATATTTTTGTACATTCCCCCCATTTTATTAAAACTTGCCGCCTTGTCATTTTGATGGTTGTCACAATTTGGGAGGGTTTAGACTGCCCATACCTGGCTGTTGAAAATCAACAGTGCTCCTTGTCCAGACCCTACAATGATGCTGACTCCCTCGTCCATTTGCTCATCGTTTGCCTTCCCAGTTGGCATGTTCCTGTGGGAGTGTTTATCAGTTTTGCCAGTTCAATAGCCTGTCCTCACTCTATAGGCAGGTGGGGATTCGCTGTAAGCAAATCTGGAGATGGACCAGTGATTCCAATGGGTGTCAATGTCTATGGGATAGGGAAGGAGGGGGAAAGTGGGAGGGTAGGTGATTACAGAAATAGCAGCACTCCCCACAGTCCAAACCCTTTATAAACACTTAACTGTCCCCATCAATGCCCAGCAAGTCAGACCAGTATCTGTGCTGTGAGGAACCAGCAGCAAGAGTGGAGGACGGGCAGAAAATAGGAGAATGCAGTCATGTCCCAGAATCAGATGCAATCTTTCTTTTCTTTTCCAGGGCTGTAACCATCCAGGATTTCATCGCTTTTAGCTTGACCCAGAGAAACATTTGTTGCGATGCAGAGAGAATTCCAGCGGAAACAATGGAAAGCATGCTGGAAAGCTGTTTCCGAAGACCCAACTGAGAGCTGTCTGAGGCATAAGCAGAGAGCTATTGCTTGTACATTGTAGATAGAAAATGTCAGCTAGTGTACTTTCTACAGTTCCTACCTGATAACGATCACTGTTAAACTGTTGTTAGTTCTGACCAAATATAGCAGGAAGAAACGGTTGTGCTGCTCAAGAGTTCCATGTTATCCTTAATCTTAGCCATCAAACATTTTTAAGATTACCACAATCACATTCAAAACTCAGGATCTGAGGGGGCAGAAGATGTTGCATTTCCTGAGAAGAATGCCTCAGATTGATCAGTAAAGGCACATTACCCCAGGGATCACCACTAACAACACATTCACTGAGGAGCCATCACTAAAGTCACATTTGCCCAGGAACCATCATTTGATACACATTCACTGAGGGACCATCACGAAATGCACGTTCGCTGAGGGACTGTTAATGAACATACATTCACCCAATGTCCATCACTGAAGACATATTTGGATTTCCACAGCTGCGATTCCATATATTTTGGCTATTGGCACAAACCATCAGTTGACATTCCAGGACTCAGTGCTCCAGTCTGTTTCATGAATGCGTATACCATTTCATTCTACATTAACAAAAGCCAAATCCCTCCCACATTCCTAATGAAATCTGCTTTAATCTAATGTTCCCTAAACCAGTCCTGGAACACAGCTATGCTTCCACTATTCGGTCCAGACTCCTCACCAAAGCAGTGAAACCACGTTGTGCAAAGGCACAGATTTTTTTCTAATTCACCTGTGGGATGTAGGCATTGCTGGCTGGGTCAGCATTTATTGCCTGCCCCTAGTTACCCTTAAGTAGGAGGTGGTGAGCTGCCTTCTTGAACCGCTGCAGTCCATGCGCGTGCTGTAGGTTGACCTACAATGTCCCTAGGGAGGGAATTCCAGGAATTTGACCCAGCAACGCTGAAGGAACAGTGATGTATTTCCAAGTCAGGATGGTGAGTGACGTGGAGGGGAACTTGCAGGTGGTAATTCATCTACATTTGTATCTGGAGTTAATACTGAGGACTCCCAGCACAATTCCCTCCCAACTGAATACCACTGTGCTGCCACCTCTGCTGAGTCTGCCCTGCCGGTGGGATAGGGAAATGTGTTGGTCATGTCTGGGACATTGTCTGTAAGGTATGAGATGTAAGTATGACTATTTCAGGCTGTTGCTTGACTAGTCTGTGAGACAGCTCTCACAATTTTGGCACCAGCCTCCAGGTATTAGTAAGGAGGACTTTTGCAGGGTTGACAGGGCTGTTTCTGCCATTAACTTTTCCATTGTCTAGGTCAATGCCAGATGATCCATCTGGTTCATTTTTTTGTTGAGATTTTGTAGTGATTGATACAACTGAGTGGCTTTCTGGGCTATGTCAGAGGGCAGCTGAGAGACAACCACATTGCTGCAGGTCTGGAGTCACATGTAGGCCAGACCAGGTAAGGATGGCAGATTTCCTTCACTATATTAGGAAGCCAGATGAGTTTTTTTTTCTAACAATTGGCAGTGATGTCATAGTCATCATTAGATCCTTAATTCCAGACACTTATTGAATTAAAATTCCACCATCAACTATGGCAGGATTTAAACCCAGGTGTCCAGAACATTAGGTGAGTTTCTGGATTAATAGTCTAGTGATAATGCCACTAGGTCATCGCTTCCCCAGATACTGAGCCTCTTCCATTTTAGTGCCATCTTTGACATTGTCAACCACACTGTCTTCTAGTTTGCCGTCTACATATTCCATTATAAATGCCTTGTCCTCCGATACTATTTGGTAATACTTTCAATTTAGTCTACAATATTCGCTCATCGACATTAGCAGACCAAAGGCAGATTGAGTGGCCACTTTGTGGACAACCTCAGTACAGTTCACCTTGTGACCTTTAATCTCAGGTTACCTGATATTTTAATTTTCCATCTCCTCTACTGAGATCCCTTTGTTCTCAGCTTTGTGCAGTTTTCCGGTGAAGCTCAAAGTACAAGACCTCACCTTGAGACTAAGCACCGTACAACCTACCACACTCAACACTGAATTCAACATTTTCAAACTTTTCCACCTCCCCATCTGTTGCCTTTCTCTTTGGTGTTGATTTTACTTTCTCTCACTCTTTTGGACGGTAACTGTTAATTGTTCTGCCATTCACATCTCCTCTAGATATTTCTTCCCTTATTTTTTATTCCTTCCTGATACATGAGAGTGGTTAGGTGGGCCAGCATTTATTGCCTGTCCCTAATTGCCCTGAAGAAGGTTGTGATGAACTCTCTTGCTCTATTACCACTCTCACTGGTCTTGCACCATTAACCATTAAAAAAAAAATTAATCTCTCAATGTTCCTTTTACAACTGTCATTGCCTTCCTCTGATTTAAAACCTGTTAAATCCCTAACTCTTCTCTAACTGTCAATTCTGTTTCTGTCTCTCCACAGAGACCTGCAGAGTTTCTCCAGCACTATGTTTTTATTTCAGATTTCCAGCATCAGCAGTATTTTGCTTCTGCATCAGCCTTGGCCTCATCCTGTGTATTAATAACACACTAACCCTTGGCAATGTTTGAAAGAAGCACATAGAAGGGAAGGAAGGAATTTGCATTCACCATGACCGTGGGCCACAAAGACTGAGTTCCACCTGTGTAACATCATCCAATTCTAACCTCCCTCAGTTCCTTTGCTGCTAAAACCCTCATCAATGTTTTTGTTACCCCTAAACTTGACTATTCAAATACTGTGGAGTCCTATCTTCCAGCCTCTAGCATCTTGAAGCCATTTGAAACCCTACTGCCCAAATCCTAACTCTCACTAAATCCTGTACACTTGTAACCTTGCTGGCTGACATTGGGTCCCAGTTAAGCAATGCCTCAATTTTAAAACTTTTGTTGTTTTCAAATTCCTCCATGCTCAACCCCTGTCTATTTCTATAACCTCTTCCAGTTCTAATAATCCACTGAGATCTTTTGCATTCCTCCAATTCTGGCCTCTTGAGAATCACCATTGACAAGAATTTCGTTAGCCTGCCAAGCTTTGGAATTCCTGTCCTATGTGGCTCTACAACACGAACTCCTCTTATCGATGATGTGTAAACTTACACTGCCCCATCTCCCTCAGTTTAAAACTTTGATTGATTTTACCTTGTTAAATCAAAATGTATCATTTCACACCTCCCTGTGTTAATTTTCTGACCATTTTGCTAGGGAATTGAACAGTCTCCCTCTGTTCTTTTCCAATGTGTTCCTTTATGCTTCAGTGTTTGATGCATTTCTGGGTTCAGTATCATCTGCCAAGTGTAATACAATGGACTTTGAACCCAGGTCTAAGTCATTATGCAGAAGCTGCAGTCTGAGAGATGAATGGTGGGTGGGTGAGTTTAATCAGCTGAGAGTCTAAAGAAACCAGGTTCTTGCTGCAGCTAGCATTCAGTTCTTCAGTTTCAAAGGGCAGCTAAACTTTCTTGACTACAAGTGTCTGAGAGCTCATGTGCATGCATTTCCATCTCATTAAAACTGAAATTCTCAATTAACTTCTATCCAATTGAGAGATCCCTCCTTTCAGATAAGACTGCATATAACAGGTATGTATCTGTGACAACAAGGTGTAGAGCTGGATGAACACAGCAGGCCAAGCAGCATCAGAGGAGCAGGAAGGCTGATGTTTCGGGCCTAGACCCTTCTTCCATTGCAAAGCGCAGTTCCTACTATCTCTGTATCTGTGACCTTCAGGTTTTCTTGGACTATGGGGTAAATATTTGCTGCTTTCCCCACATTGTGATACGTGATGTTTGTAACATGTTGCAGCATTAGGTGTTCAGGTACTAAATGGTGAAGGGGAGGAGTCTGGCTGTGTTTGTGGGCCATCTTAAAGCCCCAAGGGCTAAGAGGAGGGAGATTGAAAGACATGTTAAAGGTCAGACTGCTAAAGGGAGGGAGGATCAATGGGGCAAGGATGGAACATGATCTAAATGGGGGTGATATCAGGCAAGGTTGGGACATGGTCTATCCAGGATGGGGTACTCATTAGCAAGGGAGAGTCTCAGGGTGCCTAGGATGTGTATCTTGCTGCAGGAAGCTCATTGGGGATATTGGATCTGGTAGGGTCAGGGAGTGTAAGGTCTCGTAGAGGGCTTCATGCAAGGTGATGGTGCAGGTGGCCTTATTGATAGGGGAGCAGAAGGGCCAGAGAGGCATTGGGACTTGGATCATTATGGATTCAGGGGACAAAATGGGGAAGTTAGTGAAAATGTGGATGGGGCCACTAGGGAACACAGGTGCTCGGGAGGGAATTTAATGGATGATGGGGAGGGTTGTAGTAAATATTTTCTTTCTAACAACAAATGTACTCTCTCCTTCTTCAACTACTCAGGAATCTTGTTCATTTTTAGAAAGGCAGAATCTGAGTGGGACGAGATGTTTTGTTTTGGGTGGATTTAAAAATTAGAATTTTGACTGAACAGGTATCTGTTGTAGAAGACAGTCAGGATCTGACAGAGTTAACTGACATCACAAGGTAAGCTCTGATCCTTCAGGACATAAAGGACTGTTCCTGGGAGGAGCAAACCAGCAAACCAGTCTCCCACACGCTTCAGTAATTGTTCTTAATGTTAAAAGCAGTAGTTAGTCATAATGTGTATTCACTCTAAGGTCGAGCTTAATGTTTCACAAAACACAGGTATGTATACCTCAGATACAATGTAACTAGTTACTCAGGGATACATAATAAACCTATTTATTTTTCTTATCTTCTGCCTATTATATCGAGGGGTCATCCTTTCCTACAGTATTAGTAACTTAAGAATTTTATGAAAATTAAGCTAAGTGTCAATTTCGGGAGTTTCATGGACGGTTTCACTGCATGGGCTGTTGTTAGTTTCCATATGCAATTCTCTGCAGCCTGCCTCATTATGTATCACGCTCCTACATAGCTCGGAGATGTGGACTGTCTACAGCAGACACCTTAAGGCCAACAATGCTGCCTCTGCAAGATCCTCCAAATCCACTGGGATGAAAGGCACACCAACACCAGCCGTCCTCAACCAGGCCAACGTCCACGGTATCGAGGCACTGCCTACCCTTGATCAGCTACGACGGACTGGGCACATCATCCGTGTGACTGACACGAGACTCCCCAGGCAGGTGCTCTACTCCCAGCTTCAAAATGGCAGGCAAGCCCCAGGTGGTCAGAGGAAGCGCTTCAATGATACCCTCAAGGCCTCACTGGCGAGGTGTGACATTCCCACAGACACTGGGAATCACTGGCCGAAGACCGTTCAAAGTAGAGGTGGAGCATCTGGGAAAGTCAAGCACCAAGACTTGCCATTGGGAAAAAGTGGAAGCCTGGTGAAAGGGGTGCACTGCCAAACGCACCCCCTTCCTACAACCACCTTCTGCCACAAGTGTAACAGAGCCTGTGGCAGCCGCATTGGTCTGTACAGCCGCCTACGGACTCACCCTGAGAGTGGAAGAGAGTCATCCTCATTTGCGAAGGACACTGATGAATTAATGCCTCTGTCAATATCGTGAGCTCAGCAATGGCAGAAGTACTTGCTGTTACCAGGATCTCTTGGCAATCCCAGTGCCAAGCCATTCTTAAAGCACAGCCACGAGCCAGAGCAAATGCTGTCAGTAGGCACTGCCCTTCAACTTGGAAGGGGGTAATGCAAAAAGCCTCTGAGTACATAGGTGACACATGACTGCAAATACAAGTTTACATTAGTAAATGTAATGCTACTTTACATCATTACTTGCTGACTGTCACTTAGTTGCAGCTACAAGAATAAGGCTACACCGGTT